TTACCAAAGCCCTCTCTCTTCTTCATCCTTCTGCTGGCCTTTCTTTTCCTGCCTTCATGAAATCTAAATCTAAATCCCTCCTGGTCACTCTACCAGCTGTTAGTTTTTGCTCAGCCATTAATTCTAGACTCTCAATATAGACTGAGTTTGACAATCAGGAAAGGACCCATGACTATTTCTCTGGCATCAAGAGGCTCCCACTCTGGCGAGGCTGGGCAAAAGCTGCTTAGGACAGCTATCTCAGCTAGGCCCTGCTCTCTTGGGCCTCTAGGCCTCTGCTCAGACTGTGCCCTCTCAGGCCCTCTTTTCCTCCCCTCGTCTGCCTGGGAGACTCGAGCTGTACAAGTCTACTAGGAAGGCTTTCTTTTTCCCTACTCAAGTCTCAGTTAAGTATATGTATTTATTCATTTAGTTCACCGGTGTTAATAATCATCACGCAGTTACCACATCGTGGCAAGCCTTGTGTTGTGTGCTGCGGATTTCAGGGCAATTAAAATGGAGCATATTCCCTGTGCTTTTCTCTGTCACAGCACTTATCCTATCACGAGAGTCAGTTCTCCTAAACATCTTACCTGGTAGGCACATAGTGGACCCTCAGTGAATATTTATTGAATAATAAAGTGCTACATAATAAGTAGTTGAGCATTTACTGTATGTGAAGACATATTCAGATGTTATCTTAATATGTTTATTACAACAGCCTTATGAGGTGGTGTGGTGGATTAAAGATGGTCACAAATTCTTGGACACTTCTTTCACTGAGAAGTGGGATCCGAGTCACGGCACCAAAAATAAAAAATTAAAAAAATTAAAAAAATAAAAAGAAGTGGGGTCTGTTTCTGCTCCTCTTGAAGCTGGTCAACTCGTGACTGATTTGACCAACAGAATACTGTGGAAGTGACATTATAGCATTTCCAGGCCAAGCCTTAAAAGCATCACTAGCTCCTGTCTCAGTGCCTTGGAGCCCTGAGCCACTGAATATGAATGAAGTACAATTACCCTGCTAGGAGGCCTATGTGGAGAGGCCCTGAGAGGGAGAGAATGCTGTAGTTTGGATGTTTGTTCCCCAAAGCTCATGTTAAAATTTGATACCCAGCTGAGCACGGTAACTCACGCCTGTAAAAGCAGCACTTTGGGAGGTTGAGGCAGGAGGATTGCTTGTGCCCAGGAATTCAAGGCCATCCTGGGCAACACAGTGAGACCTGATCTCTACAAAAAATAAACAAAATCAGCTGGGCATGGAAGTGGCACATGCCTGTAGTCCCAGCTACTTGGTAGGCTGAGGTGGGAAGATCACTTGAGCCTGGGAGGTTGAGGCTACAGTGTGTCAAGATCATGCCACAACACTCTGTCTCAAAAAGGAAAAAAAAATGATACCCAAAGTTGGAGATGGGGCCTATTGAGAGGTGTTTGGGTCATGAAGGTGGATCCCGCATGAGTAGATTAATGCCCACCTTGGGAGGAGATCAAGTTCTCATTCTTATTAGTTTGCTCCAGAGCTGGTTGTTAAAAAGAGCCTGGCACCTCCCCACCTCTCTCTCTCTGTTGCCATGTGATCTCTGCACACACCAGCTCCCCTTTGCTTTCTGCCATGAGTAGAAGCAGCCTGAGGTTCTCACCAGAAGCAGATGCTGGTGTCATGCTTCTTGTACAGTCTGCAGAACTGTAAGCCAAATAAATCCTTTTTCTTTATAAAATACCCAGCCTCAGACACTCCTTTATAGCAACACTAAATGGACTGAGACAGAAGGGTACTGCCAAGCCCAGCTTTCTAGCCATCCTTCCACAAGATGTCAATTATGTGAGTGAGGTCATCTTGGATCCTTCAAATGAGTCCAGTTGCCAGCTGCATACCACCAATGGACCCTTGTCAACATGATGGGGAGTGGACGGATAGCCCAGCTGTGCCCTTCCTGAACTCTTGATTCACACTGTGAAGTATTATCAACTGGATGTTTCCAAAGCCACTAAATTTTGGGGTCATTTGCTTGTTATCCACAATAGATAATCATAGCAGAAAGTGACTTTCATTTTCTCTATTTTAAAGATGAAATTTAAGGTCTCGGTCCATGGCTAGCGAGCACTAGGGTGAGGTTTCTGAGGATAGTGTTTGTCTGACCCTAAAACCTGTGCTTTGAGCTCACTATGGTGAATGGGCCATCAGTTGTGCCCTCAGAACATCAGGCCAAACTTACTTCTCCAAAGTAGAGAAGAGGTAGAACCTACTATTTCCTCTCAACTCTTCTGGCGCGTAAGAGCTCAAGAAACACTTTCTGAATGACATTTTTATTCACAGGGTTGATATGGGGAGAAGATGTATATGACAAACTGGGGAACAGCTTTTATAATGTGGTTTCTAAATGCCAGACACTATGCTGTGTGCTTCTTATATATCTCATTTACTTCCTCCCAACCTCTTTGAGTGGCATGAATTCTTATCCCAATTTATAGATGAGGGAGTCAAGGTTCAGGGATGTCAGGAAACTTGCCCAGCTAGCAAGGGTTAAAGCTAAGGTAGGCATGAAGTTCCCTTTGACTTTGAAGGCCATATTCCGTCTATCTTGCCAGGCAGGTCAGCTTGTGATTCTGTCTGGCAGACTTGACACTGATCCCTCCTAAACTGTACCTTGTTAGTTTTGTGCCCTCAACCAGTTAAAGGTCAGCATCAAGATCTAGAATTCTAATTGTGTATTCACTGTATTAAGCACCTCTTCCGGCTTTAGGTCATCCTTGGATGCACAGAACTCTGGGGTCACAGAGGAGGACTTCCTCAAACATTTCAACCGGGGTTTCAGGAATAAGTAGGACTTGGATAGACCACTAAGTGAGAAGGTGAGCAACTCTGGCGGAGCTGTGCAAGACTACGTGCAAAGGCACAGATGCACGAAAGGGCCTGGCATTTGGGATAATGTACACATACATGTACATACATATAGTGATTAAATATATATAATATCATAATATATCATACATAATGTTATATATGTGTATGAATGTACATAAAATGGTGTTATGTGAGTACACCTACATGTTAGTAATAGTTACCTCTTGGTGATAAATATAAATGATTTTCTTTCTTCTTGCTTATTTCATTGTCTAGCTGTTTTACAATGACCATTTCTTATTTGAGGAATAAGGTATAAATTTTTTCAAAAGCTGCATGTGTTTTCAGCAATGGATGTGGGAGGATAGAGCATCAGAAAGGCAGGTGAGTACTGGCTGTTGAGGCAGGAGACGTGAGCTGGGACCACCTGTGCAACTCAAACTAACTATTAGGAAAACCTCCTCTCTTGTTTTCCGTGAAAAACCTGGAGACTCAGAGTAGGAAGTTCTAATTTGATCCTAAGAGGGAAAGGTGAACATTAAGCAGAGGGAGTGATGACTGTGGTCCGTGCAGAACATCAGAACCATCGATTACTGGCTGCCTTCTTCCAGTCCTGTTCGGTCTTTCAGTGAGCACACTGGAAATAATGGAGATCTGATTAAGCTACCCTGGGCGGGCTGCCACACAATTATCCTACTCTGTTACTGATGAGCACAAAGGAGGCACGCAGGGAAAAATCACACACTATTTTAAAGGATGTCAAGAGAAACAATACAAATTAAGAGACTGGAGGCGGGAGTGGGGAAGCTGATTGGGTCGCATCTCTGAGAATTTTGCTTTCGGGAAAACAATTCTACAGGAGTAAAATGGCACAAAAATGTTGATTTTCTCTTATTGGCCTCCACAAGCTTGATGTGCCATTACCATTACCATAGTTATGTGCTAGGCAGTCAGATGGCTACACTTTCCACATGCAGGTTAATTTTACTTCCTTAAATCTGGCGTGACCTTTGTTCTCTTCACAGATAAACAACAGGAGTTTTGGAAAATAAAACCTATGTTCCCCACTACTTTAGGAAATAGGGTAGAAGATAAAGCAGTTCCACTTCATCTACAGTTTAGAGAAAGGGAAAGGATAAGCACCCAAGGTCAACGGTGCTTATCTCAGAGTGGTAGGATTATGGGTAAATCTTAATTTTTGTCTTTATAGTTTTCTGCCTTTTCTCCAGTGAGTTTGTATGGTTTTTATAACCATTAAAAAAATTCCATTTTGGAAAAACAGCGTGTAAGCAGAGGGAAGGAGAACAGCTACAGAACTCAGGCGGACTTAAGTCCCTGAGCTGACAAAATCATTGCCCAAAATAGTTGGAAGAAGGAACAGGGTGGAGGGATTCCTGACCAGAGAAGGCGGCTGGGTGTAGGTGAAGCAGCACTGGACAGGGAGTCTGACCTTGAACCTCAGTTCAAGTCTTAGCTGTGCCTCAATCGCCTATGTGAAATGAGCTAGTGATGGACCCACTCTGATTCTCAGCTTCCAAATTCCCAAATGGGCATGATCATCCTAATACCCACTTCATAGAGGTATGAGCACTACATAAAGTCACACACAGGAAAACCTTTGTCACCCAAAGCTGACGTACACATGCTAGGGGTTACTGGGGCTTTGGGTATAAAGGTGAGCACAGCAGGGAAGGAGGAGAGGAGGGGAGACTGACAGCTGAGTGCCGACACAGGCCAGGCGGGCCTGACACTAGGCACAGGGTCGTAGAATCATGTAGTTAGGCAGAGGAGGGCCCGAGTCAAACCGGACTGAGAGCCTGTTGTCTGTCACACACCTGTGCACGTTAGCTCTCATCTGTTTTAATAATTCTGTCCCGCGAACATCATGGCCGTTGTGTAGACGAGGAAAGAGAGGCACGGGGTTTGGGGGGGTGTCTAGCCACTTGGCCAAGGTTACATCTTTGGTAAGCAGCAGGCTGGCACTGGACCTCAGGTCTCTTGGATTCCAAAGCCCATGCTGGGAGTCGGAGAACTACATCCCTTAAACCGTGCACCCGACCCCAGCTCCTCCGGCCAGCGTTATCTGGGGACACTGAACAGCCCCGCCAGCCAAAGGCCTCGGCCCGGGCCCGGCTGCCCGCCCTCCCCAGCCTCGCCCGCCCCGCCAGCCGCGCACCTGGTCTCCAGGGGGATGTTGCTGTTGAGCAGCCAGTTGTCCTGGGCGTGGGCGGGCTCCTGGGCGCCGCCCGCGGGGGGCTCTCCGGAGAGCGACTGGTCCGTGGGGGCCGGGCTAGGGTTGCTCCTCGGCGTGAAGTTGCCCCGGTTCAGGGAGTTAATGGAGGCCGCGTGGTGCTGGTTGGGGGTGTGGGCGTGCGAGAGCGGCGGCGGCGGCGTCCGGAGCCGCGGGTGGTTCTGCAGGCCGCCCGGGTGATCTAGGGCACAAACACGGCGGTCAGCGGCGGCAAGCTGGGCGCTGCCCCTCGGCCGCAAAAGCAGCCACGGGGGTCCGAGCAAGACCACAGAAGTGGGCACTGGCAGATTATCCATACTGATGCAGTCAATCAGGAATTATGTTTACTGCGCACCTACTATTCTAGGTGAAAGGGATACCTCATCCAACTGAAGAGACAAAAATCCCCGTCCCCGTGGAGCTTAAATTCTAGTCGAGGAGCGAAACAATAAGCAACATAAAAAAGACAAGTTGGCCCATGTCAGCCACTTCACATTGTTTCTTTCATGCTTTTAGGACGTGGTTTTTAAAGTGTGGCCAAGGACCGGCAGCTTCAACATCAACTGAGAATTTTGTTAGAGATGAAAGTTCCCAAGCCCTGCCCCAGATTGACTGAATCATGAACCCTGATGGGACCCAGGAATCTGATTTTACAAACCCTCCAAGTGACTCTGAAGTATACTAAAATTCTAGAACCACTGATTATATATGATGGTACACAGTAAGTCAAACAAACAAGGTTTTAAAAGTAAAACATACAGTTCACTGAGATGGTGATAAATTGAAGAGCACATACAGCCAGGAAGGGGACTGTGGCCTGTGCATTGGGAGCAGTGGTGAAATTTTAGATGGGGCAGCCACATTAGGAGAAAGATGACTTTTTTATAAAGTGAGCCATGTTGGGGTGTGGTGGTTAAAAACCATTCTTAACATTTACTGAGCACGTTGAATGTGCCAGAGTCCCGTTCTGAGCCCTCTACAAGTGTAAATTCAGCTAATTCTCACAACCACCACAGTAGGGACTGCTTTTATCCCCAGTTTACAGATGACAACACTGAGAGACTTTATTTGTTCCCTTTAATTGTTTAGAGCAACAGGTATTATCACCAACTTATACATGAAAAATGTAGACTTGGAGCAGGTAAGTAAAGTGCCCAAGAGTTTGTGTCTGATTGGGTGTTACTGGCAAAGCAAGCAAGCAAATACGATTTCTAGTGATACCACAAATGAGGCGAGTCATGGAGGTAAATCTTTACCACCCATCTAAGCTACGCTTACAGACAGCCTCGTCTTTCAAAGTGGATGATATTACAGGGTAGGTGACAAGGCCAGGAAATTAGATTCTAACCCAGATTCCACCACTTATTAACCACATAGGTATGGGCAAGTCATTAGATCTCTCTGAGCCTCAGTTTTCTCATCTGTAAAATAGGGGACATAATTTATTTTGGAGATCACAGGGCTACTGCGAGATCAAATGAGGCAATCAGTGGGAAAGAAATATTTCTGAAGTATTCTGCTTTCTTTGTTCCTCCTGAGAATTCTGTATTTCATAGGTGAGACTAAGAATCAGAGAGAACAGCAATATTCCAAAGGCTGTGCTCTTCCTTGGATAGAGAGAAGGCTTTTTGGAAACTGACAAGCACAGTCAAGAATGAAGCACCATTAGTGTTACGGATTTTTTAGGGTAAGACCCATCACTCTGATTTTTGAGTAAGCCAACTTTTTATGCCAAAGAGGTATAAAGCAAATCTGGTGGGGAATTTGGGAAAGGGGATTTAGGGGTGGAAGGGAGAAAGAAACAGAAACCCGTCTGAGTGGATCACTTCCTTATTACAAGCTGCTACTTTTGGCATAAAGCCCACATCTGGCCTATTAATACAAAACCCTCTGGAATCTGATCCATAGCTCTCTTCGAGCCTCATATCCCATCAGCTCCATCATGAATCCTCCACTCCAGCCACACCTTTCCGCCAAGGCCAGGAGACGTGCTGAGGCCATCTGAGTAGCTGAAACCTCAGCTCGAAGAAGGAGGGTCCCCAGGAAGGTGACAGAATGTGAATGGTACCCCCTGAAGATATGGAGTGCTGTAGTGCTGGACAAGAAGGGAACTAGCAGGGATGTTCCTTACTGGGAAGGCAGAGAACCTGGAAGCCAATACAACCTGCCCAGGCAGAGTGTCCCACTCAGAGAACAGGTCAGGAAGAAGGTGAGAATATGCAGCATCATTTGTTTTGTCCAGCTGTCCTCAGGTAGCACTTTAATGGAGACAGACAGACAGCCTGGGACAGACGCCAGCAGCAGGAGCAGCCTCCTGGGCTGACTGAATGTTCTTCCCAGCCTTGGCCTTTCAGGCTGCTCGCAGTAGTCCACCAGAGCATTGGCCAATGGTCAGCAGGAGGCCAGCAGAAAAGTGTGATCCAGTCCTTGCTCGTTCCCTGGCCCTAGGAGTCAACCTCCTCATGGCATTTTACTTAATTGATACAGTTTCTGCCATGTATTGGAGCATCTACAATGTGTGCTTCCACTTAACTTTTCTAATGCTTACAACAACCCTTAGGAGACAGTATTTATATTCCCATTTTACAGATGAGGACACTGAGGTTTACAAAACTAGTCAGTGGTTCTCATAAACACAAAGGCCAAATTCAATTTACCAAGCCATGGTGCCTTTGCATAAAACTCAGACACCTCCTGGATTGTCTGTCCATGGCTAAATGCAGGAAAAAGATCCTCAGTGAAGAGAGTAGCATCCAAGGTCTGGGCCAGGCAAACCTACAGACATTTGCTTTGTGACTAATGGGGCCACCAGGCTCTGGCCTGAGAAATGTTCAGAAGGACTGTCAAAAGTCCTGCAATGATGAAACTATAAGATCACTGGTCGAGGTCTAAAAACTGACTGCTAAAAGGAAATTCTCCTATGGGGACAAGGAATGTTTTTTATGGGGACAAGGAATGTGCTGGCCCAAATCCTCCTACTTTTTGAAGCTTAGCTCAACTGCCACCCCATCCAGAAAGACTTCCTTGGTCTACCCTCTCTAGAGTTCCCTTTTCCTCTTGAATGCCCACAGACCTCTCACCTTCATCTCTTCCCCAAAAGCATGCATGCTGGTGTCCCCATGTTGCCTCCCCTGGGAGGTGTGAAAGTCCCTATGTTGTCTTCTCTGTGCTTGGTGATCATAGAGCCTAGAACTGAGCAGATGCTCAATTAAGTTTATTGAACTAAGAGTCACGTGAATGGCCTGAGCTGTCAGTGCAAGCAAGTGACATTCATGTGGGGTACATTTGTGTGCAAAAAAACCATAGTAGACCACTCTGGGCCCACTAGACCATGGGTCTACGTAGGTCTTTACTAACTTGCCTGGAGCCAGAGTTGCAGAGGCTTTGGCCAGACCCTTTATTTCCCTTCCCTCATCCTTTCTAGCTTGAGAACCTTAAGAAAGGGGACCTTTATTTTTCCCAGGTTCCCAAAGGAAAAGCTCTATATTTGGGAGCTCAGCAATGAAAGCTTCACTCACAAACCCCAGAAAAAAATGTATCCTTCTAAAAGAGCAAATGTTTCCTCTGGTCTGAATGGACTCTTCTTTTTGCTCCTATGGCCAGGAAGGAAGACAGAGGTGAGAGGCTTCAGAGGAGCTTTCTTTTATCCCCTCCCTAATACGCACCCTCGTCTTTTGGAGGGAATCTCAGAACCAAGTCATTCATTCAGCATTTATTGGATGCCTATTCTGTGCCAAGTCTTGTACACGAGGTATTGGGCATAAAACAGTGAACAAGACAAATACGGCCTAAGAGAGGACTCTTCTAGTTTCTATTTACTGGCTGGGTGATCTCCAAGAACAAGTTTCTTTGCTTCCTACAAGTTCTCACATCTCCTCGCTCCTTGGTCAGTGTGTCTGTGAAAGGGCACACTTTCCTACTTTACCACTTTCTGGAGGATGAGGAGCCATGGGTCCGCTCAGGTACCAAGTATACCATCAACTCCTACTAAACCCTGAGGGAAAGACCCATGTGTCATTCCTTTTCACATCCCCAGTGTGTGCACAGAGCTAGGCCTCATCCATGGTAGGCTCTCAGTAAATATTTACAGAATGCCGGGGAAAGAGCCACTCAGGTAGTTGGGCTTTCTGTCTGCAGAAGCAGTTGCTTCTCTCATGCTACCTGGGAGTACGCATGGGTACACTTGCAAAGCAGTGCTGTAAATTCCAATTTATACCCTCTTCATGCAGATATAGTTACCAAGTGTATCTGTGAATCAAGCCCAAATGTGAGTCATTTTACTGTTATTTGTGCATACCACAGTCAGTAAAGGTCACTCGCTTATCTGAGTTTTGCAAGGCTGGTTTTCCAGGAAGTTTCTTGGCTTCCTACAATTTCTTGGATATATCTGCAGTTACTAGTATCCTCCAAACCTCAGACAATTTTCATTTTAGATGCACAAAAATCCTGAACTGCAGAGCCTCCTGGCTGTATCTCCCTGGATCAAGATCATAATGAGGCTCCTTCAGAGTGCTGGGCAGAGCCGTAGGTAAGAGAAAGAGACTTGGCTATGGTGTCAGAGAGCCCTGAGTTCAAGTTTTGGCTCTGCCACTTAGAAGCTGTGTGACTTTCAAGTCACTTACCTTCTGTGGAGCCTTAGTTTTCTTGTCGTTAAATGGAAATAATGTCTACCTTCTAGGATTGTTGTGAGAATTAAAAGAGACAGTGTATGTGAGTGCTTAGTGCCATGCTTGGAATATAGTAATCCTGAAAAATGGTAACTATTAATTCCACAATTACAATAAAATCATGTTGAACGAATAAATCGCAAAGCCCTAAATCATCACCATGGTGATCACTCTTCAGCATTTACTACAGGGGTTCCAAAGCAAAAAACCTTGAGAGAGGAAGAACAGGAAAATATCTAACAGAAGTGTGATACTCTTTTATTATACGGAATCCCACTCTGGACAACCTGCTGGCTCCTAGGAGCTCCAGTCTCAGGAGGGTGCCTGTAGTTGAACTTGTAGTTCAGAAGCTAATGAGAATGGCTGTAGCCCTGACACTCAGAACAAAACCAGATACATGGGCTCACCACGTATTCAAAGAGGAAAGTTCCTTTCTGCATTAGATTAGCATCTCAGAGCAAACTAGGCAAGGGCTGCTACCCAAATCCATACCTCTCTGCCCTGGGTTCAAGGAGTGCCTTAAGGAGACGGCCCC